CACACACACCACAGTCACACACACCACAGTCATACACACCACAGTCACACACACACACCCACACCAGTCACACACACCACAGTCACACGCACACACACACACACACACACACACCACAGTCACACACACGCACCACAGTCACATACACTATTTATTTATTTATTTTACATTCATTACTCCGTGTGTGTAGTGTGAATACGGAGGTCAGAGGACAGCCTGCAGGACTTGGTCCCCTCCTTCGGCCTTGTGGGTCCCCGGCGTAAACTCTGGTTGTAGGGCTCACGGCCGGAACCTTACCCGAGCTTCTTCACAGGTTGTGTGACTGCACATGTCCGTTGTTTGTTATCTATTAAGTGTGGGTTGTATAGCTGAGCCCTCTCTCTGTTTGTTTCTGCCTGTCCTAAGATGTGATCTTTAGGCGTCGCTGTGACGGATGTCACACGCCCAGCGCAAAGATTGCTTCTACTTTGTGCCCGTGTACACGCTGCTGTCTGTCTGTGCACACGGGTGCCTGTGGAGGCCGCAGGAGGGTGTCAGAGTCTCCGGAGCTGGAGTCACAGGTGCCCGTGGGCCGCCCGACGTGGGCGCTGGGAACCAAACCTGGGTCGGCCGTGAGGGCAACAGGAGCTCCTGGCCAGTAAACCGCCTCTCCGGCGGCATCCCGGGGGACCCGTGAGTCATTTGCACAGTGACTACAGCCAGTGAAATAATGTCCTGCAAGAGGCTTGCTTCACAGCCCTGCTGACGCACACTTTCCGTTCCCTCCTCACAGACCTGAGGCAATCTACTTAATTGTCCCCGGGAAATGAAGGGGCCGGGTGGGGCCGGTGTCATTTTATCCATTAGCAACATGGCTTCCCTCTGGCTCTTTCAGCTCCGATAACATGGTGGAGGTCACTTCTGTCCTGCACTGCAGTGTGCTAGACTTGGGTTACTAGGCTGCGTAGCTGTCAGGGCCTGGAGACCCTGAAGAGCCTGGAGAGGACATGAGGAGAGGGCAGCGGTGAAAACCCTCTCCAGATGCCACCGACTGCTGGCACAAATGGAGAAACTTTCTTCCACTTGCTTGTGGTCAAGCTGAACTGTAGGGTGCTTGTCTGGACGCCCCCAGTTGGGGCCTGGAGGTTTCTTAGTAGGAGGGTGCTTGCCTGGCCTCCAGTCACAGTGAGGGAGGGGGTAGGCCTGGCCCCTACGGGGCTTCCTGGCGCGGCCCTGGCTCCACCCTAGAGCTCAGCTGGCTTCCGCGCTCGGTGTTCCAGAAAGGCGACCCGGCTGCTGGGAGCCCTCTTTTTCGGTGAGGGGGCGTGTGCTACCCTGCACGCTCACGAAAGCATCTGGACTCTGAGTGTGTCTGAATCCAGTGAAAACCTCCTCCTTCGCTGGACACTGCTGCGATCTGCTGGAGGCCTGGGTGATGTCTAGGCAAGGGAGGACGTCCTCAGCAAGTCCTCGCTTGGCTTCTCGTAGCCACATTTCTAGAACCATCTCTGGATGAGTGAGAGAGAAGAGGAGCCTTCGCCTTTGTTTGACATGGAGTCACCAACATCAAGAACTCTGTGAGGAGAAGCGTGTAGGAGCCACCGCCATCACCCGGGATCGTCATCCGGAAACGGTGTGGGCCACCTGGAGCATCCCACCGCCACAGGCAGCCATCCCAGAGCTCAGAGGACAACAGTGCCTCTTTGAGTCTCCGGGTGACACTTAGTCATGGCTCGTGTGTGTGTCATAGTTAATATGAATAAGACTTTCCTGGATTAACTCAGATAAAACTAAATTATCCAGCAAGGGCAAGTAATTTTCATTTACAGAAAACTATTAGGGCCATAAAACTCTTCACCCGTGATGCTTGCCAACGCCCGATGGCCCACGCCTGGTGACAGTGTCTTTCATGAGCTCCCACAGCGGGGAACCGGCCTTTCCCTCCTCCACAGTCGGGCTGGCTCCTGCTGCTCTTGTGACATCTTTTTGAACTTACAAGACATCTTTGTTTTCGCCCCACAGCGATCAATGTTGCTTTTCTTTTTAAATGCGTGTGATCATCTATGAAGCCGAGGAATAGAAAAATAACCGGAAGTGTGTCTTTATGGAAAGTTGATGCTCCCCCGTCTTCTCTCGCAGTCCTGTTGAGGCCCGCACAAATGCTTCCTGCCAGGCTGGGTTTCAGGAGACAGGCTTCCACAGTCGTGTCCTTCCCGAGAGGGTCCTCTGACTTGGAATGGAGGCGGCCAGCTGTCACGCTTCCCATGGTGGCACACGGTGGCTGCCGATGTGGCTCACCCTGGTTGGGTGCTCCCCTGGAATGCAGGAACCCCTGGGTTTGATCACCAGCAGGACCTAAAATAAGCATGGGGGTGCCCGCCCGGAGGACCAGAAGTTCAAGGTCTCGTTGGCTGCGGGGAGTTTAAACTGGCTTGGCGTAGGAGACCCTGTCTCCAAACAGACAGGCAATCAGAGCCCCTGCGCCTGCATGGCTTTGCACTCTGGTTGACATCCTCAGCTACCAGGAAGGGGCCACCGTTAGTGCCGGCCAGCAGCATCCCCTGCCCTTATTCCTACCACTGCGGCCTGATCGTCCTGCCAACAAGGACTGCTTCCAAACCGTCTTCCATCTCTCAAACCTCAACCCACCGCTTTCCTACTCAGCTGCAGCAGAAGGCTCAGCTTCTGATTTTGAGAAGG